TAATGGTATCTGGCCCTGCTTCAAGGTTTCCCTGCTTGGCTGCTCTGTCAAATATTTGAAGTGCTAAAGCTCGCTACTTCTGGCAGAGTTGCTGTTCTAGATGGCTGTGTGGAAAAAACTAGTCAACAGTGTTTCAAGATTAAAAGCTTTGAACTGCATAGTTATAACTTAGTATTGTTTTATGATGAGAGAATTATATATCAGATGAAGATTTTCTTTCATCCTTTATTGTAAAGATCTAAAAAAATACCCAATGCTTTTAATCTTTAGTTAAGTAGTTCTTTAGTAGTTACCTCCAAACGCCTGTTGCTTAATCTTTGACTAAAGCACGAGACACAAGGTGCAGTTAAAAGCTGAAATTATTATATTTACCTAGCCAGTATTTTCTTCTAGCATAGCTGTTCTGTTGCAATTTGTTGAAAAAAAAGAAATCCTCTTTCATTTTAGTTTATTGTTATTCTGTCAAAAATTATTATTAATATTAAACATTGCAGCATTGCTATGTGTCTGTTACTTTCCTGTGACAATAATAAAATCTATACAGAGCATAAGATGCATCTTTTTCCTATTATGCTCTTGTAATATTCCAACAGTGCTACTGTTAGCATTATTTTGATAAAGGGAGGAAAAGGACTATGGATTCTACTGCAAATATTTGATGGCATGCACAGAAAATTTTACATTGTTTCTCACAAAAGAAATGGTAACAAACAGGGGCATTACATGTGTGGCATTGCCCGCTATTAAGAGTTAAGAGGAATGGGTTTCACCGAGCTGGAAATACAGAGCATGAGATGTCCAGGAGTCAGCTGTGAGAAGGTTTGAAATTCAGTTCTGCTTACTTTTGTCTGCTTCCTTTCAAATACTTTTAACGTAATGTATGATAAAGTATAAAATGCTTAGCTTTGCAGAACTCTCTGCCAAAGTCATTCCACTTTCTAGTAGTCTGTTTCCAAATAGTAGCTATTGGCAGTTTCTTTCTGGAAATTATGGTACCAAATATTTGTGCATGTATGTAATGGCACAAAAATGTTTCCAGTTTTGATTTATTTGGTTTGAAAATCTAAATTATGGAATTAGATCATAAACACATCAAGAAAAAAAATAGTAAAACGTTGTAAAATTATCCTTTATGTTTGCATTCTGCTCAGAGAAAATATGCAAGACTGGTGTTTTGCTTAAAGCTCGTGTGTGTGTTTTTCTCCCTGATAGGAATTCCTACAAACCATAGTAAACCCACCAGTTTCACCCTGAGGGTGGATAACGCAGTTCCGTTGGTGACCCAAGCCCACGCAATTCAGCCGCTACAGATTCGAGCAGGAATCCTTTCTCAGGTTGGCTTACTTTAACATAAAAATCTTACTTGTTTTATTATTAGTTGGTAAATATTTTTGCCCTGTAGAGTTCTGTTGCAATCCCTCTTCTATTTTGTGCTGAACTGCAAGCAGCTAATGTACATTCAGGCGTTCTTTGCATCATGAAATCTTCTCTGCTTCACAACAGACATGGTCAAATCAGACCCAGCAAATACTGGTTCCTGCATGGCAGCCGGTGGCAGCTCCTGCTACATCTCTGGCCTCTGATCCTGTGGCTGGCCCACAGAGGCTTGGAGACTGGGGGTAAGTCCGCGTATTTTTGTGCAATACCTTAACAGCTTTGGTTTAACAAGATCTACAGATGCAATGCAAATGACTTGCAATTTAAAATTTCCTTTCTTTTTCCTCAGGAAGATGATTACCCAGGGCACCCATTACAATTCAGTGATACCGCAGCCTCTTTTAACACATCAGATAACCTTGTCTGCCCCTCAGCCAATTAGTGTGGGCATTGCACATGTTGTCTGGCCTCAGCCTGCAGCTACCAAGAGGAACAAACTGTGTCAGAACAGGTTGGTGGAATATTTCTAACATTCAGAGATAGTGTATCTGTAGTTGCTGTTCAGTGGGCAAGGGAATAGCCTGTAAAAGTGGCATGCTTGTTAGCGACAATTGTACTGAAATGGTCTTTTGGGAAAATTTGTTCTTTCTGCTCTAAGTTTTCCGTGTTATTTTGGTAATACAGACTAGATGGCAAAATACTTGCAATAGTAAGAGATTTTAGTTCCTGTTGGTTGTATGTGCCTGTCATGATAGCAAAGTTGTCTTTGTAGCCTTTGGGAAGATATAAGAATATGTTGAGCATCATCTAATGAGATGTTCCTAAGCTTATGTGCATGAGGATATATCAGCTTTAGACAACTAGAAATAGATACCATATAAGAGGGTTGCAGTATGCCTTACAATCATCTTAATAGTCTGTCTTTCACTGGTGGCCAGAATTACTTTAGCTGCTTGCTGAAGAAAATATGCCCCACTGCCATACAAAGTATTTGCAAAGGTGTGGGGTGCTCAGTAAAGGGGAATGCATGGGTTACAGAGGGCAATTTCAGCAGTCTGGTTTTAAGCAAGGATTTCATCCAGAGGCTACCAGCTTTTGTTTTCAGGAAATCTCGTCAGGTTTTGTTCACTTGTTTTTCACCCAAACAGGATTTTAGTTTCTTTTTTCGTTTATAAGAAAATGGGATTTTCAATGTATTGTGTTTAATGTTGTTGTGAATTTCAGTCTTAGATATTACTTAGTTTGGATGTGGCAACATAGCTTCTTATTAGCATGTTTCTAGATTTATTTTTTTTTATTAATGTGTGAAATCATATATGCCAAGCATTTATGACTCTCTTTCCTGGTTTATGTTTTTCTTTGTATTAGTGTAGAAACTTGGTGTTTTAGCCTACGTTGCTTGCTTTGTTTTTGTTGAAAATAGTACAGTTTTCAGGTTTGTTGGTAGAGATTCACTAAATGTTAAATGGTGTGTTTTCTTCACAGGAGCAACGTGTTACAAAATACCAATATCCAAAATTCAGCCTTTATATCTCCAAAGATACTTAACTTGAAGGCTGTAAAGAGAATAAGTTGTATAGAAGCACAGGACAATCATAACTCAGAAGGACAGGAAAGTAACTGTTGTGAAGCATCGGTCAGGCTGGACCCTGATTCATCTCTTTCAACCAAACAGCGCCAGGCTATCTTCATTGCCGGTTCCCCCAGCCCAGCAGTCAGCGTGATCACCATCAGCAGTGACACAGATGAAGATGACATAGGACGAACACATTCACTCAGAGAGTAAGAATCGATGGTTACTTTATTAAGGTGTTACTTAAATATAGTATAGCTGTCTTAGCATAGCAACTGTATTTAATGAATCTGAGTTAGAAAAAGACAATGACTTCTAATCAAGTTTCACTAAGAAGTTAACTCTGTAGCAGTGTATCTTGAAAGTGAAAAATACTTTCAAAAGTCTGCCTCATTAATCTGTATGCATTAGGCATTTGCAACAGGAAACAAATTACTATTCTTTTGTAACAGATTTGGTCGAAACTGAATACTTTTAGGTCCAGCATACTTTTTTTTTTTTTTTTTTTGCTTAATACTGTTATACCCTATTTATTTGTTTAAGATCAGTCTTCTGGCTTAGAATAACAATATTGATTATACTAGCAGTAGCATCCAGTAGATAACATTACATACATACGGGTAAAAAGTACTTCTCTAACAGTATGAAAACATGTGCATTTGGGTATAAAAGCAGATGCTGAGCATGGTCCCCCAAAGGAGTTTTCTTTCACAAAGTTATCAAAGAAGCATGTATCACTTTGAGGGCTTAAAAGTTTAATATTTGTTCGACTTGTTTTCACTTGTAATGATTATGAACTGGAGGTACTTGTATTTAAATCTAAACTGTGTGAAATGTTTCAAAGCTCTGAACTGTTGTAGTAAAATCTTGTATCTACTTGTTTTAGTATTGATTCAGTAAAAAATTTATTCATTTAGTAGGTTTTAAAAAATGCATGTTTAATCTAGAATTTCCAAAAGAACTCTGCAAAGGTTTAAAATTCTATTTAGGATGTAAAAGAAACAAGGAATTGGATGTTAGTTTACATTTAAGGGACCTTTTCTAATATTTGACCTCTTTTTATTCCATAATTAAACCTTTATTCCATACACTTAAGTGTATGGAAAGAACGAATGAGAGATGATATGTTTGCTGACTTTCTTTTTGGGTGGCAGGTGTAAAGGTAGCCTTGACTGTGAAGCCTGCCAGAACACCCTGAACATTGACCGTGTGTGTTCTCTCAGCAGTCCTGATAGCACTCTGAGTACTAGCTCCTCGGGACAGTCTAGTCCATCTCCTTGCAAGAGATCCAACAGGTAAAAAGCTGTGCTCCTTTCAGTAAAAAGAAAGATCCTAGGATACAGCAAACTCTGGTTTATAATAAAAAATGTGAACGTTTTGTTATGGTTTTTTTTATATATATATATATATGCCAAATGAGGTATTTAAAAATTAATTTGTTGGCCTGCAGTTGCACAGCGTAGACTGTTCTTTTATCATTCCTAACAGATCTATCTTGCTACATTGGAAGTTTTCAGAATACTGAATGAATGGTGTTTACATAGAAAATGTAAGGATGTTGCATGCAACTTCCTTTAGAACAAAAATCTTCTAGGATTGCAAAATTAAGTAAGCCAAAGCAGGATGTGACAGATTTGAAGTTACCAGAACATCATTAATTTTTGCACCCTCTTGTTCTCCCATTGTGTGTCTTGTATTTTAATCACTAATGACATTGATGCCTTTTTTCTTCTACCAAACGTAAGCTTCACTTAGGTGAACACTGTTCATATGAGCAGCTTTTAAATATTTTTATCTTCACTGCTTGATGTCTACTTAGTCTTCATTTTTGTACATTATTCAAAATTTACTCTTAGAAAAACAGTCAACATAACTCTGAAAATTAATGGCATTTTTGATACAGTACCTGAGGGCTTGACACTAAAACATCTATCTGTGTGATACTCATAAGACATGGACCTGTGACACAGACATTCCCACTGACTTGAGATGTTCTGGCTGGGGCTTTTCTTATTTTGGTCCCTGCCCTCCAGGTGCTAACATGTTGAAACTTTATTTGTAGCTATGAGCACTTGGCACTTATCAGATTTCTAGATATGAATTTGGGGTCCAAGAAACATTTGAGATACATAGTTGCTGGTACTGGTGAAAAGTTTGATTTAATATGATTTACTCAATATCTCATAGAAATTATTATTTTTTTTCAAGCAACCTATGGCTGACATAAGCATGACCAATTCTTTTAGTTTTACTCTACAGTTCACTTCCTATTTTCTGTAGAATAGCTTGATATGTAGAGAAGAGTGATTCAAACTCGGAACAGTTTTTTTGTGCAGAATTAGTAAGATTGGAGTCTAAATGAAAAAAAAAGTTTGTTTAAAGTGATTAAAGATTCTATCACAGCATGTATTGACAAGGAAATGGAACTGCTAGTCTGTACAGGCAGTTTTGTTTTAAACAGCCAGCCTGACCTAATGATACTTTTAATGAATAATTTATATATATAACTGTTTCTACTTATATAAACACAACAGCCGTGTAAATAAAGGGTTGCGCTTGTCTCCTTAATCTAAATATGTGAAAAAGAATCTGTCACGCAGAGCCAGGGCTCTCTGGAGGAACTTCAGAGACACCCAATTTTTCAGTAGATAAGGTCTAGTGTAGCTGCTGGTGGTTGATATGCAGATGAGAGGGAGCTGCCTGCCACTGTGCAGATTGCTTCCCCAGCACACTCTATCCCATCCTGACTCTCATGGGCCCCAGGGATGGCTTTTTTGCAGACTCCGGCATGTAGCTGATTTCTAGAAGGAAATTAGATCAGTATGTTCTCATTTGCTAGTGTAATAACCATCGGGAGACCTTTATGTTTTGATTCAGAAAGAAATGAAATAATCTTCGACCTTTTATTTGACCTAAAAATCTAAATTTCAGGTGGTTTATAAGTACAAGATTATTTAAGAAATAAATTGCAAAGCGGGTGCAAGTTGAGTTGCACACCTAAGTCTTCATGTAGAAGTTATCTCCTTCCTCTGAGAAAGAGTTTGAGTATTGAACTGCCATCTGAATGTCTGTGCTTGTGTAATTAAAATGTAATGTTTTTATCCACCTTTGAATAGTTTCACTTCCATAAATTTTATGTGGTAATTGAATAAAGTGCATCTATATTATGAAAATGTATTTTTTTCAATGCAGTACTTTTTATTTTTTGATAGTATGTCAGATGACGAACAGGAAAGTGGCTGTGATACGGTGGATGGTTCCCCAACTTCAGACTCTTCAGGACGTGACAGCCCATTTGTGGAAAATGGCTTTGTAGCTAATACCAATAAAAATAAGGAAGCAAGAGCATCGGTTAATCCTGAAACCAAATCAGCTGTTTGCACAGTAGTGGTACCACCAATGAGACTTGAAAACACGTTACATCTTGATGAACAGATGGTGAATACAGGTAAGTTAGTTCATGTCTTGTTTTGTTTTTTTTTTTTTCTTCCTATACCAGTAGATAAGAATAGAAATTGGAATATTTATTCAGTAGCCGTACATATGAAGATTTTGACTTATTCATATATCTGCTAATCTGTAATAAACACTTCTAAATTGTGTTGGTTTTTTACTTTAATTGGTGTATTATTTTATTATTTCTCTCTGGTACCTGAAGCAAATGAAACTTTGTCTAACTTTTGTTAGAAGAGAATAGTGACAACAAAAATGTAACACTGTTCATTTATATCTTGGAAGATGCTACATGCCAGCCACTGAAAAAGGGTCGGTCTGTCCTGGGAAGAATAAACCAGTCTTCTGTTGTAGGAAACCGTCAGCAAAAACTGACATCAGCATTCCATCAGCAACATATAAACTTCAGTCAGGTATGTGTAGTTATATCTAAGAAATATTTTTTTCTTTCTTGAGGTTCCAAACATGCTGAATGCTCACAATTTCAATTGCTGTCAATAGCAACTGCAGGTTTTCAACAGCTTGATTACAGAAGTGTTCAAATCTTGAAAAATGGATTTCAACTTACTGGGCAAGTCATAAGTATCTTTCAGTCATTTTCTTAAAGCAGCTGACTTTATTTTTTAAGATGATAGAAAAGCCACACTGGGAAAATTATCAATGCCTACACAAAATCAAAGCATGAGACAAAATGACAAATATATTAGCTTTTTTTCTCCTACATCCAAATGCTAAAATGCTCATAGTGTGCAGTTAAAAACTGCAGTTTGATTTCAGTCTTGTTCTGTTAGTAGTATGCATGAAAATGCTTGTAGTTTGAGTGTCCAGGGATGAGATAGAGCTTGCAAATCCAACTGTTCCTCACCTTTGCTGCCAGGCAGTGAAGCTGGGGGAGGGAAGAGGTTGTGTTTGTAGTTCAGTCCAATGTTGGAAGATACCCAAAGTTAATTTAAAAGCTACTTTCATCGTTACCCAACAACATAATAAATGTGTCGACTGTGGCTGAGAACTGAAGTTGACACATGACATCAAGTTTAAGCGCCTTTTAATTAATTAATTTTGAGCTGTAGCTGCATTGAGCTTTTGGTTAGATATCTGGAGGTAATTTGATATCAGCGCAGCACCTGTTTGTGTAAGTCTTGCAGTCTAACTGTGAATAATAAATTTTAAGTTAAATACTAAATGCAAGCATGCTGTATGTAGATAAGAGGATTTACCAATAATGACTTGAATAGTTTAGATAGAAACATTTGGGTGGGTGACACAATCTCCCCTTCTGCATGATTATTCAGAAGGATTGGTTTAATTAATTCTAAGCAAACCTTAATATGATCAGCATGGTATTAATTTTTAATCTCATCAATGACTGCTGCTCCTCAGCCTCTTGGCAGAAAGCGTAGAACATTATTTTCTTTACAAAAATTTATGCTGATCCTTCCTTCTTTGGTAGATGCCCTACATAGTTTGTCATCTGCATCATTTAATGGGAGTAATTGATTTTTAGTCTTCCTCTTTATAACTGTTAATGATTGCCACATCTTCCTGTGATCATAGCCCTAGACTTCTGTTTGCCTAGTTGTCTCAGATATTTTCAATCCGTTTATTATTTTTTCTGCTCTCCTCTAAAATTTCTCTCCTATTTGTCCTCTTTGTGCCTCATTATGGTGCCCAAACTGAATGCAGCACTTCCAATTGATGCCAAGCCAGTGCTGAGTAGAGTGGAATAAGCACCTTGCTCATGTGATACATGGTATTTCTGTTAAAACAGCCCAGCATGGCATTTTATCTTTTTTTTTTTTTTTTTGCAAGAGCATTAAAATAGCTTGTTTTCTGTTTCCCATCTCTTATTGTCAGATTTCCTGTCTGTGCTACTATCTAAATAGCTGATTTTTTTGTTTTGTTTTGTTTAAGCATTTAATTATTCCTGTCTCTATATTTCTCTTGATTTTAAGTTGACTAGTTTTAGTGCATTATTCCATTTTTCAAACTGTCTTTATACTTAGAAATATTAAGATCTGCCCATTTCTGTGTGTGGACAGGTTCAGCACTTTGGATCTGGGCCGCAGGAATGGAACGGAAACTATGCTCATCGGAGGCAGCAGCCTTACCTCCCAGCCAGCGTTGCCGGCCATGCTTTCTCCCTTCCGCAAGGAAGTCCAAATCACACTACCGTGCACGCGCATCTCTCTGGAAGTACCCACCTTGGAGGACAGCCTGCTATTCTTCCGTACCCGTCGTCGGCACCCCTTAGTACTGCTGCGCCTGTTGCCCACCTCCTCGCCTCGCCGTGTACCTCAAGACCGTTGTTACAACATCCAACATACAGTATATCTCATCCCAGTGGTATAGTACACCAAGTTCCAGTTGGCATAAATCCCCGTCTCTTACCTTCCCCAACCATTCATCAGACTCAATACAAACCGATTTTCCCACCACATTCGTACATTGCAGCATCACCTGCTTACACAGGATTTCCACTGAGTCCGACAAAACTCAGCCAGTATCCATTTATGTGAGAACTCAGATACAGTATATTGAGGAAGCTCAATGATACAGAAGTTTGATTTAAGAAGAAACATGGTATTTATTAAATATTAGCCATGGCACAACAGGAAAATTATTTTTTTGAATCATGTAGACTTGGGTGCAATTTAAACAACTCTGAGCTTTAAAAAAAACTCACTTTTAATGTGTTTTGCACATTTGGTATAACTTGTCTTTGGTCATGTTATCTTCTTATATAGTAACTTTAGACAGGTGACTTATGGGAGCAGAAATCTGGTTTTGCTCCTGCTATTTTTTATAAAATTGCCTTCTAACTAGTGCAAGACACGTCTACATTTGGGAAGCCATTCAGTGTACAGAACTAGAGCAACAGATGCACATATGTCAGCAGTACAGTGTAGAAGTAACTTGTTTGTATTGCGTATCTTGGTGTTTAAATGTTGAGTCACTTATCTAAAAGTTGAGCTGTTGTTCTTCACATTGCATGTGTCTTTTGCATGGGCAAAAAAAAAAAAAAAAAGCCTAAACATTGCTCTTAAATGTTGTTGTCCTAATAATCTCAGCTGCATTGTAAACTGTTCCCACACATAGTGCCTTAAATATTTGAGGTTGTTAATGTTATTACTTATATATAAATGTTGAGGACTGCAGCACTTAAAAATTCAGATCTGCTGATTTTTTGATAGCGTAATGCTCATTTTGGGTTTTGTGTGGTATGATTTTAGTATTGGGTGTGTTTTCCTTATCGAGAAGGCAGCATGTTTTGCTGTAGCCGAATTTTGCTGTCTTTTTCCCCCCAGAATGATCTAGCTTCAGGACAAGACTTTAGTAGTGCTTAAGAAAAGTTGATTCAGTAGTTATTGAGTAGTGACACACAGCACACTATTTCATACTGGTAAATGGAACTGCAATACAACCTAAGTAGTTTATTTTAAAAGTGTTTGTCTAATTGGATATAATAAAAAGTTTAGAGGTGTGGTAGGCATGACTGACTAGCTAATGAAAGAAAAAGCCAAGTGCTCATTGATCCATGATGTGGTTTCATCTTAGCTTGAGCAAACCATGCAGTATTTAATAACTAGTAGCAGAATATTTACTATTGAAGCTTGAAAAGATGTGAGTTCTTTGTGTGCAATCTTTCATTTATGCATGGGAGAGATTTTAGTCTTTTTACATTATAGTATTTGTTTTAGCCTGTTGCGGGTGTTTGCTTATTTAATACATTCCGTCAGGGACGTAAATGACATGCTTTTTGCATTATTTTTTTTCCTTAGGAAGTGTGTCTCTCTTTCGTTTTTTTGTTTTGTTCAAATGAAGTTGCTTTTGCAGCACCAAAGACTTAATCATCCATTTCCTATAAAAGGTAGCTACTTTTTCATAGACCTCAAGTATACTGTAGTGTAGAGATGGGATTTACAGAAGGTATTAAGCTGAGGCTGTGTTTTAGCTTATGGGCAAGTAATAAATTGTATCATTTATCTTGAATGTATCATAGATAAGCTGCTATATAATGATTGCCACTTCAGATAGCTGTGAAATTAGGTGATTAACTAGTTCTTTCTTAGCCTTCTAATTTCTGTACAACTCTAATTACATGAAATAGAAGCCGGGTTTTGGGTTTAATTTTTTTCTTTTTTAAATTACTATTTTGTTTTCATGTTTGAAGTGTCGTAACTACTATACTGTAAATGATGGAAGATGATTGCATATGTTTTTTTGGGTGTGTTATTTGCATCAGTATTTTATCTCCATTAACTTTGAGCTCATCACTGCATATAAGTGGATGTATTGATGTAACTTAATTTTTTTATGTTTTCATATTGGCATTGTGTAGACACTTAAGAAGCTGCATCTTGCAGGCTTGACTTAACTTTTTTTTAAAACAAAATCTGGAATACAATCCTTGCAATGTTGACTGGAATAAGAGTGCAAAGCATTTGAGTTTAACTCTGTCAATAAGCTAATAACTGGTAATCTTTTTCTTTACTCCACTAACACAAGCAGTGTTTTATTTAATGAATGTCTGAATGAAATAAATGTGCCTACATTTGATTTATTTTTAAAGTAATAACTAAAATACACAGTATTAGATCATAAAAGAAAAATAAAATACCAGCAGTACATTTTTAATCACACTGAAAATTAAGAAACCTAACTTTTCCCAAAAGTTTCAGTGTTTTTAGTAATCAACTCTATGCATTTTGTACAAGTGTGTGTATATAAAGTATACATTAGAAACTAGGAGTATCCTGATGAATTTGAAATCTTATCAACACATATATAAAGCCTAAATATAGGGAGTCAAGGAAATGCTCAAATTGGATATCCACCTTACCACTTCAAACTTGTGCTATACGGTCCAGCAGATAGTTTTCTGTTCACTCCCTTGTGTTGGGAAGCGACCTTTTTTTGGTGCTTACTCCATTGCAGGCAATGGACACACCAAGTATCGCCAATGCAAATGGAGTAAATGAATTTTGTATTGTGACAACAAAAAAATACTGCATTTTTTTTTTTCTGGGGCCATGGGGATCTTCATTAGTCTAATGTATTTACTGTACTTTCTTTTTACTGTGCTTAAAGTTTTAAGCTAACATGCTTGTTAAATTAACACCATTATCTGTATATCACCACAGTATCCTATCATACACGGGAAAAAGTTGCTGTAAATGCGCCCCAAATTAGATCTGCTGCTCTTTCTATGTGTTGTAATTCTATAAATGTCTGCATTTCAAAGAACGAAATGTTTGGGAATCTGCCACAGCTTAAATTCAATATACCGGCTGACTTTCCCCCCATCCTGCAATCCACTCTTGTGAGAACGGACTCTTGTCGCTGCAAGTGCCCGGGGCCCGTCTGCAGAAAAAAAGGCTTTCAGGGTGAGGACCTTTTCCATGAAAAAAAGTCATCCTCTGAGAAGCATTTATACACGTTACCGTTTTAATGCCTTTTTTAAATAAAACACTGCATGACTACAGAATTACATACCTGCATATTACTTTAATTTGCAAGATTTTATATGAATTTCTTGTGTTCGGTTTTTAACTTCAGGGTGTTTTATTGGTCAAATATGCTACTGTATTAACTTTTGGTTTTAATTTTTAAATTTTCTGTTTTTATTGCTAATTAACTTGGTTTGTGTTAAGTAAAAGTTAAATCACACTGCAAGCTGTAGGAAGACTTGTTCTAGAAATACCCAGTGATAGAGACTTGATTACTAAGTTTGAACTGTTACTGTTTAACGATTTGTAGACTTGTGGCTTTTTTTTTTTGCTTTGGATTTCTATGCTACACTAGTTCGCCATGTAGCAATTGCACTGTGCAATATTACAATATGAGGACTGGGAAAATTTTTTATGGATGTAATGTCTCTTACAGTTTGCGATAGTATTTCTTTCTAGTTCTCAGTGATTTAAATGTGACCAAGCCTTCTGTACTTTGTCACAAAAAGCGGGTTTTCCAGGTGACTATTTTGGTGAGTGTCAAAATAAGAATTTATGGTGTATTACTGTCGAGATTCACTTTGAATTAAAATATATATTGCAGCAGATGACTTTTGGTGGCTTTCGGTTTTTTTGCTGTCTTACATCAAGGCTGGATTAAGGTGAAGGCGATGAAGATTCCCGGGGAGGGCTCTAAAATTCTGATATCATTTGGCTAAGCTTCTCTTCTTTCTGAAATGTTAAATATTACTAACTTTCAAGGTTTGCTTAGGAGGATCTTGAGATTCTGTCTTTAGCGTAGCCAAACCTTGAAGGTTCTTTGTTCTGGTTGTCCCACTTTTTTTTACAACCTTAGCAAAAGGTTATCTGACCCAGATTCCAGCAGATACATTGCTGCTGCTGGAGTTCATACCGAGCCTGTGGCAACTGCTGCTTGGCCAGCAGGAAGGGGCTCCCGCTGCGGCAGGTGGCCCCACGCGGCCCGTGGCTCCAGATGGCCGGCCCGGTATGGCCCGGACGTCCACGGAAGGCACATTTGCCGGTGCTGTTGCCAGCCAAGTGTGCTCGTTCTGCCGTGGGGTTACAGTGCTGGTTTGGAAGCTGTCACGAAGCAGGCTGTTGGGTACACATATTTATGAAGTAGCATGGTTTCTGCGCTCAACATAGCATTTCAGGTGCTGTCAGAAATGAAATGTAAAAGACTGAAATGACAGTGCAATATATTTTTGATACCAAAGTATTTTGGAATTGACAGAAAGCTTTACTTTGCTAAATACAAGGTGCCGCTGTTACTGATCTTTCACAACTGCTCGCTCCTCAAATGCAAGTTGGTCATACTGTCTGCAAAGCTCTTCCTGCAGCACTACACCTTAGGCTACAGGAAAACGCATCTCTCTCCAAATTCTACAGATACCTCTGTTGCGATGAAAGCTGCTGCTTTTTCATTCTTTGCCGTTAGACTCGCTTATTGTTGACTTCTAAATGGCTGTTGATGTTGGTATCTATATCCCGCATTTCCCATAGAAAATAGGGCCACTGCCTTTGGTGTATTTTGCACTCTTGATTTTGGCAACATCTAAAAAACAAGGAAAGCCTTTCGGAAGGAATGTGCTGTCTGTAAAGTCCTTTCCATTCTTGCTTTTTATTAGTGATAATGTCCGACTGTCCCCTATGCTCTTTCCTGTCCTGTGGAAGAACTAGGACAGACTAAGTAATCTTCCTCTCAGCTGCCTTTAGCATGACTAATACTGGTGTAAGATTTGGTGAGTATTTTTCCTGTCACTACGGGAAAGGGACATACAGTACATACAAAGGACGAATTCATACTGCAGTTGTGACAGCAGATTCATTCAAGGGAAAGCTTTCAGAGTCTGGAGCTGTCGCATGCTGCAGCTCTGTAGTGGGACGAACGGTGGTTCAGGACGACGCTACGTTTTCTCAGTAATTAGCTGAGGTTTTCAGCTTGGAGCCATGATCAGTCTCTGGGAGGCAACAGAGAAGCTGCTGTCTGGTGTCACTCACAAAGCAGTACAGTCCCCATGATCACGGTAGATTCACACTAATCGCTGCCACTCATGCATACGGCGACTTCAGCTCCTGTAACCAACGGAGGCAGCGTGAGTCAAAGTTTTGGTAGGGTTGTGAAATATTACTGCTCCCCCTGTAAAGAGCTTTAGCTTCCTTACAGGCCGATAGCGTGTGTCGTGTGCGGTACAGAGCTCTGGGGAAGGCTGGAGATGTGCTGTAGCCCCTCTTGCCTCTGTTTCCACACTGAATGACACCATGATGTAAATGGTCAGTCTGACACCAACGAGATCCTGATGCGCAGGAAGATGTGTTGAATCATGGGTAAGATTTGCTGGTGATTGTTAATTACATCTTCCTACCTTTCACCCGTAAGGAGGTACGTTTTAGGAGAGTTGGGTACGTGCTCTAAGCAGATTCAGGTAATTCTAGCTGCCCTTGTCTTGGGGAACAGCACTGACTGTTCTTTGCTAGAACAATGAAGCTTCATGCTGGGAGGCTGGAATACACATTTGAATGGATTCTTCTCCTTAAATCCTGAAGTAGCAGGTTGGGAGCATCTACACCCTGTTGGTAGAGGTGCCTGGAGGCTGGACTCCATGCCATGGTGGTATCTGTGGAGTGAGATGTTCATAAATTTGGCCTTGTTTATTCATCAAAATGAAAAATGCCAACTGTTCTGTTGCAAAGAGAGAGACCCTGGCCTGCCCCCTGCTTCGTGGAGAAGTCACTGCATGGCCACTCGTCTCTGCTCATCTGTAGGTTTCTTCATAGAGACAAGCAGGACTCAAGATGACTGTGGTAGGTCTACTGCGAGCAAGGGAATTTTGGATCTGTGCTCATCATTGCAGCCAAGGTCATACGGATGATGTCAACCTATTGCTGTGGGGCAAAGGTAGGAGAATCCATGCAAATGTGAAATTCGGTCTCAGTGTGTGTGCTTTATTGTTACGCAGCGTGGTAGAGTAGTACTTTCCCCAGTGAGAAGCATACTGGTCCTATGGAGAAATAGTCAATAAAAAAAAATCTCCTTAGCCAACTAGAGTAGATCTTTGTCGACATGGTGCATCTTGATTCTTTATCCATAATGAGACATCTCTTCCAGAATATGGACTACTTTCTAGCATTAAGGATTCTATAGCTGAGAGGAGACCAGGTTACAGGTACATACACTTCACCTCCATGTTCCGTGTGTGTAACCATGGAAGGGAATACAGGGGCAACGCACATGTGCTGCTTGCAAAAAATTTACCTGATAATCAGGTGCATACAGAGCACGTGCACGCTGTAGGAGAACACGTATGTAGGAAAGCAAATCTTGACGCCAAGTGCGGATGCACAGATACCCGCCAGATGTTGAAATTACCTTTCTGGAAAAAGAAGTGAAATAGGATTGGGAAAGGTAAGTTTAGGAAGTAGTTAACTACAGTTACTTGGCAAAACTTTAGTGACTTTTCACTAGCTGTAAGAGATCCTATCTAGTCATCATTCTGGAAAATATGCATTTTAAAATTCCTTTGAAATAACAACCAAATCTGCTAGGAGAAGAAATATTTTGTAATATATACTAAATACACACACACACACATATACTGTATAATGGAAAATTAAGAGATTACTATAATGGTTAAGAGCTAGATCAGCAAAAAGCACTGTCAAAATTAACTTACTGATGGATCAATTACAAAGATGGTGTTATGACAAAACCTGGAAAAACAGGGAAACTCTGAAACGGGTTTTGCGCAGGACTCCCTAAAGAATAACGACAGGTACCACCAGAGGGCCCTGCACTAAACACATTGGCCCTAAATAAACCGGAGGGATGAGTAAGCTATCCATTTTACTATAATACTCGTACAACTGCCATCTTTTCTCTGTGGATAATCGTTAGCAGTCATCATGTGAAAGCTAATTTTGCATAGAATGAGTTAGTGATTTGAGGAAAAAGTGAGTAAAATGGCACAAATGGGACGTATTAGTGGCCAAGTAATTGTACTGGTGACATTTGGAGTGTGCTAAACTGGTCGGATAAATATGCAATTATAGGTCATCATGACTTTGGGGATGCTGTCAGTAGCTGGGTAGCAGGATGCGAAGCTGTGGCTTGCCCATGCTGGGGCTTGCTCTACTTCAAACCTGGCTTGTAAGAATTTATCAGAAAGACTTCTTGCTTTCTGCTAGAATTGCCGTGAGGCTGGGACAGCTTTCCTGCACGTAAGCGATGCTTTGCCCTTTCAGAATCAGCTCTCGGGGTCCTGGAGCGCCTTCTGCCCCAAGCCCACCTTCTTTTTGCTCCTCCTCCCACCATCACCGTCTGTTGCCCACAGACACGATCTGGGAACTAAAAGAACTCAAGGAAGCCATGCCAGGAAAAAGATGACATTAGAATAAAGAGTTCACATTGCCTCTGCTGAACATACTAATTACAAAAACCAGTAAATGAATTACTGCTTTGTTTGGTCTGACTGTGACTGAGGCAGCTTCTGCCTCTCGCTGGGGCTCACCTCCTCTGATGTCCATGATACACTTTATGTGCCGGTTGGTCTCCTGGTGTACCTTTAAGCATCACAGAGGCAAATGTCTGTCCTTCAAAGCTCCCCTTTCAAGCCTGGAGATCTGAGCATGTTCACGGGCAGGGAGGGGGTGGCCAGGTGAGTGAGTGCGTGCAGAAGAGGGGTGACAGGAGAAGACCTTTCCTGTGTTT